CCCGATATAGAAGCTCTACCAATCTATAAAAGGTATCATGATCAGCATTTGTAATGTTCTTTGTGCTCGGAAAATTTTAGAACATTACACATGATCTATGGAAAGTTATTTGGGGGGTACGAGTACGTTACTTCTGACGAGCACTGTATAATGGAATAAGCCAATAATGAAGATCATTGTCGGTATATTCACGAAATTTTAAAGCTAATTGAAAGAATTCATGAAAATGAGCTTGCTCACCGAGACTTTCATAGCGGAAATGAATTTCTATCATCAAGAAGTTGGTTGTGCTGCTGATCAGATAATCCATACCAATTGACTATAACAAAAAATATTCTTATTTAATAATTTAATTTTTTTCATAGGGTGGCGACTTTCGTCGCTGATAAAAAAGTTGACTTTAGGAATTCCAAATGTTATATCAGAAAGTTTCATTTTTATACTTAAATTTCATAATTAATGTCAACCACTTGTCAATTTTCTTCGGGACAAATAATTCAGAATGCTGATTCCTGCAAAATTAATTCAAATATAAATACACCAGTAAATTGATCTCTTGCGCAAAAACTCTGTGATTTTTGTTCAGAACAAATCGCTGAATTTTGAACTGATTTTGAATTAATAGTCTTGTAACTACACCTCGATATAGTCGAAATTTAAGAATAAACACCCTTTTTTATTCACCGTTACCAATTTATTATAAAATACATGTACCTGTATAACAAAAATTAACTTCTCTATACGTACGTACTATCACCTTAGTCACACCAAATTTTATTTCACAATCCCGTGACTATATCGAAGTGCGACTGTAAAAGCAGAGATTTATCGTTATTGAAACAAGATGATTTAGATTTATCTGAGGTAATCGAATGGATCCTGTATTCCCATCCAAAAATTCAGAATTGTGGACCAAACAATCGGTTAACTCGTTACAGGAGACTATAAGAAAAATATTGAAAATCGAAAATTATAAATCACACCAGGTGTGTTGAACATCACCACATCTCTTTCATTATTAATAAATAGAATTAACATCAATTAGTGTGCATTTTGTATTTTCTCGTGTTGAAAGTTAGAACGATCATGACAGTATCACTGACATTGATACTGCTGGAATTAGTGATCTAGAAGACACTTTCGACCAGCTAATAGCATACGAAAATTCGCAAAGAACTGTGCCGAGTAAATTTATGTTTTCTGGTGAGCTTTTCAATTTGTCGGAGACTGAAGAAGACGAGCAGGATAAGAACTCGGAACAGCGATATCCAGTTGTAATTAGGACTTAAGATCTATTATCATTTGTTCCATATGGTTATTATTAACACATTTTTTGACTGTTATTGAGATGCTTGTCAATCACGGGCTGGAACATGGCTTCACATTTACAATTACTCATAAAGACAAAGAGGATGGATTGCTCCGTCACTGCATCTATACATGTATGAAAAGCTTAAGATATGTGCTACAGAAAGAAGCATATACGTACGTACATGTACATGTACAATTGAAGAGGACACCATATCGATATACGTACATGTATACTATCGATTATCAAACCAGAATTGATTTCAAAATCGCGACTACTCGATTAACCATTTTAATAAATTCGATTAATCGTTTTTAATTTGAGGAATCGATTCTCAATCCAAAATTGATTCTCGAGCAAAAATTATGACGACGACGACAGCAATAACGACGACGACGACGACGACATAACTGGTCTTTGGTTTTCATTGCAGGTTGATTTGTTTCCCTGTTCGTTGGAATAGTTGTACTTTGATTAATTGAATTCGAAGAGATACTAACACTAGATTGAGATTCTGTATCCGTTTCATTACACGTATTTTCTGTTGTTTCATGAATATCATTCAAGTTTGGATTAATTTCAGTTACTTTTGGTAGTGTTAGCATCACTATCAGAGTTATTCAACTCTATATTGGCAATAGTTTCTTGGTTATTATCCATATTAACTTTTTTGTTGACTGACAGAGTTGTAACATTTGCTATGTTTTTCATGATTTCCAAGATTTATGCATTATCACGTTAATCGATTTTGTCTTTAAAATAAAGATAATCAGGTTTATATTTTGAAAGTTAATAGCCAACACACCCATGCACTTGTGGAAAACATTAATATGGTTGCTTCTTATTATCACAAGTGTATGTGAGGATGTGAGAGTTATTACAACTTGTGGTATCAATATTAAAGTTCTGTAATGTAAATACATTTATTCACACAATGTTTATAATCTAATTCAGGTTATTCGACATCAAAAGAGAATCACAAATAATGCTGGTTCGATATATTTTGATCTTGTGAAATAGTAAATCATGCTGATGCATGCTTTGACTTTGAGAGGTTAGCAATATAATCTGTCATCAAAAGAGTCATAATGCTCGAACTTGTCCAAAAAAAAAGAATTAGGATTATGGGTTAGTGCTGGAGATAAATTTTCTAGAAAAAAACAAGTGTTTATGACGTAATAAAAATATTGGTTTTACATTACATGTATTAATTACATGTGATTTGTACTATGGTGTTCAGCACCAATGGTGTAATTTCGCATTGAAAATTATCATATCCTTCTTGAGAGTGTATAAAAAAGGAATTCTCTTAAATCTTTATCGAATATGCCCACAACAAATGAATATCGATATCGATATGTTGTGCCCAAAATGTCAATCGACTCAATTGTCAATCTGGGTAACCTTTTGATTTTTGGGCAACTACATGTACATGTATACCGATACTCATTAATTTGGCGTTTCTGCTTATCCCTAAATAGAACAGTACGTACGTATTTATTCTAAAGTGTAAAAGCTTTAGTTTCCATATATAGAGGGTGAGTATTTTTATTTTTACTCTTCTTCATTTCATGCATCAATCGTTTGACAAACACATGTGAACGACGACGACTTCCACTCCACCAC